TATAAGTATTTAATGTTGCCTCAACTTTCAGGAAGGTATCCATGGTGTTCAACCTATTTAAAGTTCAGACTGAAACCCAGAAGGGATATATTGCCCAACTGACATTGGAGCCAGCTGCCACCACTGGATATTGCTGAAGTACATGCCTTATAAACAAATAAAAAATCAGTAATAGAAGGTATGTCTTATAGAGCAGCAGGTTATATTATGTTTTTCTTGATTTATCTATATGGCCTAGGACATTTCAGAACATTAAAGCTTGAATAATCCAGGTTAGCTGTCAACATGGTGTTAGGGTGGTGGGAAAGAAAAAACACATCATCAAAAAAGAGGCTAATTTGCATAAAAGCTACACCTACTAATTTATATATGTATAGATCAAGGATGGGCAACTTCCAGATGTTGAGTGCCATTTTCATCCTGCAGGCCCTTTCACGGGTACAGTCTGTGGGGTCCAGTAGGATGTGACTGCCAAGGAAGTGGACATTGCTGATTAGCCACTGCAATTCTGCTGGGAACCATCCCACTATACAACAGAATGCTGCTATGGATTCAATTTAGCTTGTTTCCAAATGAAATTTTTCCCTTTTGGTGCTCTGTGGCAGCTATGGAACATGCAAAGAGCCAAATTTAGTCTCCAAACAGCTAAATTTGATTGAGTACTGTCTAGCCTCTTGAACACCATTTCCCTGCTCAAAAACTATTAAAAACTTTTGGGGGAAATATAAGATAGTGGCAGTGCTTGCAGCCCACAGGCCACCTGTTGCTATGCCTGGCATAAATATATATTTAGAAATCATGTCTATAGTTTTGCAAAAACAGATTTTATCATAGTGTGGAGGACTGTCACCAGGTGCTCCTGTTTGGTATTCAGGAGCTAACTGGTGGTGGGTGCTTTCAAGGCCCGTGTTGTCACTTCTTATGGTTTTTTTTAATCTTTAAACTGGATTTAGATTAGAAAGTCCTTCAAATAGCGGACATGTTCAAATAAAAGGTTATCTTTTAATAGCTCTCTGAGGACAAACACATAGTTACTTACCATGGGGTGTGCACAGTAGTATATAATTATAGGTAACAGAGTTCCTCAGGAATAATTTGGGGATGATGCAACTTTAGTAGTGCTTCCATGGAGACTTCTTTTAAAATTATTCAAAGTTCAGTTATTTAGTAGAACATGCCAAAACCAATAGAAATAAAGTATCAATATCTTTCATAATAATGGTTCATGGAAAAGGTTCTCCTGATTGCAGACCTCTCCATTCTCTACATCAGTGCAGTTGTGCCTTAAAGAATTATCAGTGCAACCACTAAAAAGGAACCTAAGCTGCTTCCCCATGCAGAACTTGTTTATCTTTTGCTCATATAAAATCCTTTTTGAGCATTACCTTAAGGCACAGCTCCCTTGCATTTCCTTTCTGCCATTTCCTACATAATAATTTGAAAGCAAGACAATAGAAGAAAACAAATATGTGTGGGGGTAAGAGGATCGTGATGAAAATATTCCACCAAAGAATGGCTGGGGGAGAGAGAATTGACAAAATAATCAGCAGAGTTTAACAGCTGATTCACATATTAAACCATCCACAGAGCCTGTGGGAATGGAGTGATATATAAAAATCAAAATCAGTAATCAATAACAATTATTATATTGCTGTTCTTTCAGTTCTAAACAGAATGACCAAACCAGTATGGCTCCTCACTCCTCGCTCGGCCTTGCCGTCTCAGTATACATGTTGTGAAACTAATGTTGGGATGGATGTACAGTGTAATACCTTAACACTGTTAAGCTATTGGAATCACCCATGTGCATTTTAGAAAACTTCCTTATACCCACAGATGCTAAGAATTGAACCTGGGACCTTTTGTATACAAAACATGTGCTATGGTCCCTTGGCTGCAGAGGTGGAGATGCTTGCAAATATAATATGTAAATAGTGTATAAACTTTAAAACATTTACAAAGAAAATATATATAAATATTGTCTTACCAAAGGAATCATTGTGAAAGAAAGTTTTGTCAACTTTAAACTTCTATCTCTCCGTCTAGAAAACTAATGAATAAAAATGTGTGATTTTGGGGGGATAAATTTTAAAGGAAAATGACCCAGTAAAATGTTCAAGTTGTATCATCCACTTTTGCATATATATTCAATGAAGCTTCTGTGGGCAAAGCATATATTAAAGATTATCCTATATTTGGTCTTATCTATGCAAATGATTAAAGTACTAGAGCTGCAGGCCCAGTATTAAAATAACTTAATGCTTGACATTGTCTATGCAGTATGCATTTGATTATGTCCATGTGGCCTGCCTGTTTTATGAAGAACTTTTCTTTAACTAGTATACATGTTGCCTCTCTACTTTAAAATATGAGAAAGCTATAACGGAACAATACATATATGCTGTGCAAAAACTTATATGGCATAATCATTTGAAAGAGCTGAAGTTATTCAGACTTGGGATTTAAATATTCTTATTATGCGCCACTATCCTTTGTACTGATTCAACTCAAGCTGTAACAACAAATAGCGTTGTATGACTAATATTAATGAATCTTATTGTGAGCCAATAGGTGAAGCTTTCCATCTTATTTCTCTGAATTTCTATATCAACACAGTATGTTGTGTTCCTGTGAACAATCCGATTTGTCCCTGCCCTACAAAAACATAAAGTCCGACTTGGCTTTCTGACACTGACTAAGCTACTTGGATTAGGGAAAGCTGATCTTAAAAGAGAAAAATTGGATGTTCAGCAAGCCCAGCAGATATTTTGAAACACTCTTGCTGCTGATAAGAGTCATTGTAAATTTAAATATTACCTTGTCTTACACAGAAACCACACTAACAAATGGCTTTGAATTTTTTATGAATGATTGAGTACGAAACTTACTAATAAGCCCAAGCTGTGGTGCGTGCGTGCGTGCGTGCGTGCGTGCGTGCGTGCGTTCTTTCTTTCTTTCTTTCTTTCTTTCTTTCTTTCTTTGACTAGAGGATGCTGCGGAGAAAGTGCAGATGAGGTGCCATATAATTTTACAAGTTGCATAACTGCTTTTAACTACTAAACTCTCTCTGATTAAAATAACAATTGAGCCTGTAATTTTTCTGAACAGCTGCTGCTACAGGGGGTCATTACCTTGGAGAGCTTGGAAATAATTGTACTCCTAATACATGAGTTATGTAGTCTCATGTTTTACAGCAATGCACAAAGTTTAAAGCCTATAGTAGAATGTTATTTGAAAGCTGTCAAACCATGTTAAAAAAGACTGCATCGTCAAAGGCCCTTGTGGCCAGGATTCAACATGTAGCCTTGTCTTACTCATTATAAAATGCATGTTTATAAAGTTCCACAGAGCATCCAATTCCCAATTCACTTATATCAGCAAGACTTAACTTGCTCATTAATCTAAATTCTTTTGCAACTTTAATCTACATGTTTAATTAATCATAAAATGAGGCGGTAAGTAATTTCAGCAATGTGTGGCTTGTTATCAGATGCATTTAATCACTCTTCTGTGAGCTCATTTGGAAACACCTGAAGATGTCGAGAGCAGTTTGAATAAGCATAAATTATTCTTTGTCAGTGTACTTCACCCAACTAATAAGACATTAATTTAAAAAAGGCACTGTTCGTCATTTTTAGATCTTCACCAACATTTTTAGCTTAGCAATGTAACTCTAATTGTATATATGACACAATACACAATATAGTACCCAGCGGTGAAACAGGAAGTATTATTCAATTTATTTTTCCTGTTTACATGTAATTACTCTGTGTAATCTTAGGTTGAATGAAGATTAACCATAGTTATCAAATCCTAAGTATTTAAATGTTCTTGGAACAAGCTACTAGTTAATTGAAATCATAAAAGCTACTAGATGATATAATAACAGTTGTAAGATTATATCTTCCCTGTGGATTTACTTTGTTTGAGGTACCTTAGTATGGTTTCTTTCTTTCTTTAAATATATAGCCAAAACACAGTACATAAAAAACTAACTTCTACTAATGAAGAAACAAATTTTAAAATAAAGACTATTGATCTGATCTTGGCAAGCATTCAGAGTTCCTTACAAGGCAATTGGAAGTCACTCTGCAGTTTCATATGATTTGCAAAAGATCTTTTATGTTAATCTTTGTCCCATGCAGTGTCCTTGTATTTCTATTAATGTTATCACAGTGCCTTTGGTGACTGGGCTGTGCATGGTATCCACAGCCTGTTGAAAGCTTATGCCTGGATTAAATAGTTACACAGACTTCTAGGGGTTTTCATAACTTCACCTTGCTGTGCTGCCCTAGTGAATTTCCTAGTCTAGAACTAAAATATCAGTGCAAATCCTCTCCTTTGCCAGCAATAACCTAAGACCAGGCAGCTTTCTACTTTGTTAAAAAGCTGTTACTAGTCTGTGTAAGGCTGGAAATTTTTCCCCATCCCTTTTTTTGCTGGTAGTTTGTTACCTATGTTCAGTGGCAGTATTCTAAAAACAAACCAGACACTTACGTCTTCAGGCTGATATTTCATCAGGGTGTTAGAAATAGATGAATTAAAAATGGCATTTTTGGAGAATGTCATCACCTGTCCTGTTTCTGCCTTGCAAAGGATGACATTCTGTAACAATAATTATTATTTTGAAAAGAGATTTGTTGACCTGCCAAAGATCTTCTTAAATGCATATCCTTTTGGCTAATCTTTTTAGTTGTCTTTGATATTTCAGTATGCATCACAGCAGTAAGACATTCTTTTTGTTATAACAATATTACATTTCCTACACACATTTTCTCCACTGCATATTTTCTTAAGGCTTCATTTTCTTTGACTATGTTATACTCTAATAAGATCATTACTCTGGCATACTGTCTCCATCAACTGTTAAAGATTCTGTATTGTTCAAGCTATAGCAATAAATGGTAGAAACGGATCTCTCTCCACCTTTTCCTGCTGACAAATTGGCTCTCTTCTTCTCTACAATTTGTGGTTTACTTTAATCCTCTGTTTCTCTCCAGATGGAAGAGATCATAGTTCTAAACATCTAAAAAGAGTAACGTTTTGCAGTGTCATATAGTACAGACTAGTAGGCTGGACAATTTAACAACATTCCATGAAACCGCAAGAATAAAACTTGTGTACAGATTACATTTATGAGCTGGAAGAAGAAAATAACCTGACTGCCTAACAAGTATGAGCTATTTCTGAGTCTTTTTTCATGCAAGAATTTATTTTGACTTCTTTAATTTATAAACTGTAATGAGGCAATCAGATGATGTATGGACTGTTTTAGACTAAACAATATATTTTTAATGAAATGAAGGAAGGTAGAAGTTGGAGTGCTTGAAATCCTACAAGAGAGCCACAGTGACCCAATGAAGAGAATGCTTCATTCAGACTTCAGAGAACTAGGGAAGAAACAGATTAACATTAGTTAAAAATACTGCATCTAGGATTTGTATTTATTGATGTAGTGGCTCTTTTCTTGCAAAGTTCACCATCCCAGGTGCAGGTGCCTAAATCTGGATCCTACCTACTTACTACTAGAAGGCAATCCATCTTCAGTCGAGAACTGTAACTGCACCTTGTCTTGTACCATGTGGTCACATGATGATCATTCCAGTCCCCAAAAAAGATACTGAGAAGTGTAGTAAGTATAGGACCATCATGCTAATTTATGATGATGGTGATGATGATGATTAATTAGATTTATACCCACCTTTTTTCTTGCAACAAACTCAAAAGTGGCTTACCTCATTCTCCTCCAGCTGCTCTCAGTCTTATCCCCACAAAAAGTTCCTTTGGAAGCAAAGTGGTGCTCTGTGTGCTGCAACAAAGATGTAAAAGTGGAACAAGAACTTATGTGGAACGAGAAATGGCTGACATTCAAGTTGGATTCTGGTCTTCTGCTCAAATATATGGCCTTCTGGTCAAATATATGATTCTGTTCTGGTTAAATATATGTTGGCTGCTGGAGCACACCAGACGATGTCAGAAGAAGACCAAACTACAGTAAAGCCTTTGACTTCTGTGTGGATCATGAGAAGCTGTGGAGAGCTGTGAAAAAATTGTTCTTCCTTGGCAGTTTGTTATCCTGATGCATAATCTGTATCAAGGACAAGAAGCAACTGTTAGGACAGAATATGGAGAAACAGAATGGCATCAGGCAAAGGCATCAGCCAAGGGCATGTTTTATCTCCCTGTCTGCTCAATCTTTATGCAGAGCATACTGTAAGGAAGGCTGAATTAGGATTGGAGAAGAAAAGAGTGAAAATTGGTGAAAGACACATCAATAATTTTAGATACACAGATGATACTATATTACTGGTGGAAAGCAGCAATGAATTGAAAGTAAAAGAACAAAGTACAAAAACAAGACTTTGGTTGAACATTAAGAAAACAGTAATTACAACTACAGAAGAATTACACTTCTTTAATAACAACAATGAAAAAATTGAAATTGTGAAAGATTGTAAATACTTTGTTCCAGTTATCAATCAAATGGGGACTACAGCCAATACATGCAAGGAAAATTGAGGCTTGGAATACAGCAATGAAAGAACTGGAGAAGATAAGTGTAAGGCTGTTTCACTGGAGACCAAGGCCAAGATTATCCACATTACTATATTCCATATCCACACTACAATCGATATGCACATGTGTGGAAGCTAGTCAGTGAAGAAAGATGACAGGAAGAAAATATGTAGATGCATTCAAAATATAGTGCTGGAGGAAAGCTTTGTGAATACTCTGGACAAACAGAAGGATACACAAGTGGGTCTTAGATCAAATCAAGCCAGAACTTTCCCTGGAAATAAAAATGATCAAAATTGAAGCAATCATGCTTTGGGTTTATCATGAGAAGGCAAGACTCGCTGGAGAAGACAATATTAGGGAAAAGAGAAGGCAGAAGAAGAAGAGGAACTTCAAATACAAGATGCGTTGATTTCATAAAGGAAGCCAGAGGCTTGAGCTGAATAAGGAAGGATATTTTAATGGGCATTAATTCACAGGGTTGCTGGATATAACTCTGATAGTATGTAAGAACAACAAAAACAACATCAGAATATTAAGCCATTGCTGGTTCTCCTCCCAAGATTACTTAACTTTGGGCAATTTTGGATATGGATGTGGGGACACTTAGGTGTTCATGTATTTAGACTGAATTCAGTAGTTGGGAAGATCATTCTGTTTCATTAGCTGTTTCAGATAAAGGGTTGTATTCAACTGTGTTTGCCCACTAGCAGAATGGACTCTGCTGGCAGAACTGATTCCCCTTTGTTCCTGTCTGTATCCTAAATTGACTTTGAAGGGTTGGAGCACAGTGGACCACAGGGAACTCCTGCTGCAGGAGCAGAAGTCTACTTGCTTGACGTGGAATGTTGCTGCACATCTTTAGGGATACACTGTTTACTTGAATTGTATGAAACTGGAACTTTATTATCTTATATGCCTATCTTTAGAAATCCCAGATGTTTGCCCAAATGCTGAAAGGCCTCTTCTTCAAAAGACGAATTTGTTGGCAATACAGATAGTTGTGGACCATAAACATTTGATGGTATGTGATTTCATAACAGCATCATGGCAATTAATGACAATTGACAATTGTCATATGACAATTAACATATGACAATTGATGTTATTGACTTCTCAGTTTGCTTGGGTGAAGAGATTCAGTCTCATGCCTGGAACAAATTGGACTGAAGACTGGTATAATATGTATATGCAATCAGTTTTTAATGTTACTGTCTGAATCGGAGAAAATAATGTCACAGTAGGTTATAGGTAGAATGTGTCTCTCATATTTCCCAGGCAGCTTGTTGGAAATTTCGAGGGAATCATATGATCTCAGCTCACTGTCTGCTTTTGTTTTTAACAGACCTCTCTGATGACAACTATCACGGGGCACTGCTAGAGCACAGAGTCAGCCTGTGACAGGGCCAGGTAACATTTGCATATTCACCTAAAAGTTTTAATGGGAAGGGAAATTTTTTTACGTAACATTTCCCATCTATTACCTTCATATTTCAAGTATATTTTCCAGGTAGGTGATATGTGAGGCAATATCAAATAATGGCAAAATGGAAAGGGTTTTCACTTGCTTTATCCCATTTCATATGTGTATTTAAGATAAGCCTCCACTTTAATTAATTAATTTTAGTATATACTTCAAGAATGCACTTACAATTGTCACTTTGAGAATGTAGTTTCCAGGCTGATTGATAACTTGGAATAAGATCAGTTGATCTAAGGAAGTGTGCCCCTTGAAGATCACACTGTATTCCAGTTTCCTTTTGTCCTCAGAGATTATATCACTTAAAAGGAAGTATTACTTATGTCATGATTTATTATGAAGTTATCAAAATCAGAATTTTCTTGGTATAACCAATAATAGCTCTTGAAAAGTATGGCAGAGAACTAAGGTATATTTGTGTGGGCAATTTTCACATTATTGCTTCACCCTCAGAAGAAGTCCCAGAAAAGCTGGAACAATGTAGGATGGGGAAGCACCAGGTAAATGTAAAGTACATGCACTGTGCCCCTCAACATTGACTATGCCAGTAGTGAACATGGGTGGAAAACTAGTTTATGCTTGAATTACAGATGCTTGTGTCTATCTGTTGTTTGGACAGCCACAATGAATGAAAGTAATAAACTCTGAAAACAAATGAACGAGTATTTGAGTAATGAGCAATACTAACCCAGACCTTATTAAGAGCTGTTACCAATGTTGCTATTCCTATTCAGTTTGTGTACTATGAAAATACGATTACCTACATCTAGGAAAGTAGAATATGTCATTGTTGCAAATTAAGCACAACCAAATGCATAAAATAAAAATCCTTTGCATATACCTTTTACTGTACAAAGGAACATTGTTTTTGTTCTTGTAATAATGCACAAGCAAACTTTTAGAAAGTTGTTGAATATGAGCAGTAAATATCTATCCCTTCATTCTAAAGGTGATTTTTTTTTGCTAAAGTTGTGTTTTGTTTTCCATGGACTGATCAGTTTTACAAAGCCAATTTAAAAGAAATTGACAGCTTCTAAGAAATAAAAACAAATAAATGACCATCCTCACAATTATATAACAGAACTTGGTAATATGTCAAAGAATAATGCTTATACAATAATTCCTTCTCATAGTTGCAGATGCTGTTGGTAATGTTATCAAGGATTTAGCACTGGTAGGGTATAAGGTTCCTTAATATTTATTTTCACAAGAACTTTGTGAGGTAGGACAGGCTGAAAATTAATCACTTGCAAAGTTTATCTTGTGAGCTATATGACTCACTGAATATGAACCTGGAACTTCCAAGTCCAAAGCCAACATACTCCATCAGTTGGAAGAGGACAGGTAACCTAGACATCGCCACATATAACACAAGTGTTCAGCAGAAGAAATTGATGAAATCACTACCCTTTTCCTTATCCCAGTGAAATCAAAGTCCGCTAAGTAAGTCTGGATGCAACTGGTAGTATATGAAAGGAAACCTCATTTTAAAACAAATGAAATCAGTGGTCTAGATTATCCCTGTGAATTGTATACATTATTAGGCTAGTGACTTGATATATTTTATATATTTATTGTTGTTGGTGTTAGTCGTGAAGTCATGTCCACCTCATTCTATAAAATAATATATAATTATTATATGTATAAAATACTTTAAATATAGTTAAAATACATAATTTTTATTTATTTATTTATTTAGAGAACTTCTATGCCACCCCATTCGCTGAAGCCTCGGGGTGGCTCACAATCATAAATAAATAACATAGTATAAAACAGTATAATTTAACAGTATAATTTAAGTCACCCTGGCCAAAGAATAAAATAAATAAATAATATTAACAATTAAAATAATGTTTGAATAAAAAGGTCTTCGCCTGGCACCGAAAAACAAATGATGGCGCCAGGCGGACCTCTCTGGGGAGCGCATTCCATAGATTGGGTGCCACCACAGAGAAAGCCCTCCTCCGAGTACTTACCCTCCTAATTTCCTTCACAGAGGGTTCCCGGAGAAGGGCCTCTCCCGCAGATCTCAAGGGGCAGGCGGGCATATATGGACGTAAGTGCTCCTTCAGGTAACCAGGACCCAAGCCATTAAGGGCTTTATAGGTC